AAATCGATCCTCCTCATGTGTTTTTCTTTGTATATTATTTCTAGATGCAAGCCATGTACTTTTCCATATATTAAATTGTATAGTTTTTGTTTGTAGTTTAACTTAAGTATGTGTTAAAATTAATATTAGTTTTGCATCTTCACAGGCATGAACCGCATGGTTAATTTAAAAGGAAATTCTGTAAAAAGTTTTAATTTTGTAAAAATAATGTTTATATCATCGTGTTTTTGGAGATTTAACATTGTTAACTTTAGCTAAAAATTTAATATAAAGTTGAGAAATAAAAGCTGTCACATTCCATATTGTATGACAGTAAAATAAATCTGCGACATTTAACTTAAGATTAATAAAAAATCTTTCTTCGAGGCTCAAAATTTGAATTTAGTAAACAGAGAATTTGATAAATAATTCGTAAATTTTTGATAAGAAAAAAAACTCCCAGCTTAGGTTTGGAACCAAGAAACACAAGGTTGCCAACTGAGCTCAAAAGGTTAATCAAAAACATTCAACAATATATTATATTTATCAATGTATATAGCATTTAGATCCGGTACAATATCCCTTAACTTTTAATAAGAAATCAACAACAAAACTTAGCTTAACCTGGTACTGAATCCATGTATCTTAATTATATCTGAATAATAATACCAAATCCTAATGAGAGTCTAGGACAAGATGAGTAGATAAATGAAACTTAAACAGCTTGTGAGAAATGATGATTAAGACTTCCTTCAGATAGTTATAAAATTATACTCAGATCTTAAATCGATCCGCCTCATATGTTTTTCTTTGTTTATTACTTTTAGATGCAAGCCATGTACTGTCCCATATATTAAATAGTATATTTTGTTGGTAGTTTAACTTCAGTATGTTTTATAATTAATATTAGTTTTGCATCTTCACAGGCATGAACCGCATGGTTAATCTAAAAGAAAATGCTGTAAAAAAATTAATTTTAAAAAATGATGTTTATATCATCGTGTTTTTAGAGATTTAACATTTTTTTAATTTAGCTAAAATATTAAGAATAAGTTGAGAAATAAAAACGACATAGCTATTACTTCTGCTAATGTAAAACTCTATTTTGTGGTAGGAGGAGCTGCGTTAGCAATTCTTGAACATTGGTCTTTGAGAGGAAAAAGCGGATTGAATGGAACTTTCGGTAAGCAATTGGCTTCGGCTTCCAAAAAAGCCTTGCAACAAGCGGGACCTATATGTCCGAATTTTCCTGTGAGTACGGATGTAGAAATCTCTATAATGCATCCTGGAATATTCATCACCGAAGACCAACATTTTTGTTAGATCAGGTAATCCTGGAATACCAAGACTTGGCTGGAATGGGAGTGGAAATGAATATGGCATGGGAAACTGGGGTAATTGAGCATTGGCAGAGACAACAACACATACTACCACCATTAGGAAAAACACATGTTTAATAGACATTGTGAGTTAAGAAGAAAAGAGAAAGATTTATTCAAATATGTGTGTCTCTATCGGGTTTTTGTGTTTGATTAATGAACATATAATCTTTTGTCTATTTATAATGAAAAGAAAGAAGGTACAATACAAGCTACCTTAAAGAAACATTTTGGAATTTCATAAGGAATTTAATTACATGTATTCATAAGTTACACAAATCCTAAACCAAAGAGAATAATGACATTAATAACGAATAAATTGTGGACTCTTAAGTCTTGCCGAAACTGACTAGACCAGTTTATGTTCTACCGTTAATTTTCCTCTAGGCTATTTATTTCAGATCATCTCTCTTCCAGACTAGATAGCTCTCTCTCTCTCTCTCTCTCTCTCTCTCTCTCTCTGAGAGAGAGAGAGAGAGAGAAGGGCAATCTACCGGTTTATAGATTCTTAGGGTTAGAACCAAGTAACACAAGGTTGCCAACTGAGCTCCAGAGGTTAATTAAAAAAAATTAAACAATATATTATATTTATCAATTTATATAGCATCTATATCCAGTACATTATCCCTTAACTTTTCATGATAAATCAACAACAAAACTAAGCTTAACCTGGTACCGTATGCATGTATCTAAATCATATCCCAATAATAATATCAAAACCTAATGAGAGTCTAGGACAAGAGTGAATAAATGAAACTTAAACAGCTTGTGAGAAATGATGATTGAGACTTCCTTCAGATAGTTATAAAATTATACCCAGATCTTAAATCGACCCTCGTCATGTGGTTTTCTTTGTATATTATTTCTAGATGCAAGCCATGTACTTTCTCATATATTAAATAGTACAGTTTTTGTTTGTAGTTTAACTCAAGTATGTTTTATAGTTGATATTAGTTTTTCATCTTAAAAGGCATGAACCGCATAGTTTATTTAAAAAGAAATGCTGTAAAAAGTTTTAATTTTTAAAAATGTTGTTTATATAATCGTATTTTTGGAGATTTAACATTGTTAAATTTAGCTAAAATATTAATAATAAGTTAAGAAATAAAAACGACATAGCTATTACTTCTGCTAATGTAAAACTCTATTTTATGGTAGGAGGAGCTGCGTTAGCAATTCTTGAACATTGGTCTTTGAGAGGAAAAAGCGGATTGAATGGAAGTTTCGGTAAGCAATTGGCTTCGGCTTCCAAAAAAGCCTTGCAACAAGCGGGACCTATATGTCCAAATTGTCCTGTGATTATGGATGTAGAAATCTCTATAATGCATCCTGGAATATTCATCGCCGAAGACCAACATTTTGTTAGATCAGGTAATCCTGGAATACCAGGACTTGGCTGGAATGGGAGTGGAAATGGAAATGGCATGGGAAACTGGGGTAATTGAGCATTGGCAGAGACAAAAACACATACTACCACCATTAGGAAAAACACATGTTTAATAGACATTATGAGTTAAGAAGAAAAGAGAAAGATTTATTGAAATATGTGAGTCTTTTCGAGTTTGTGTGTTTTGATTAATGAACATATAATCTTTTGTCTATTTATATTGAAAGGAAAGTTGTTACAATACCTGCTACATTGAAGAAACGTCTTTGGAATTTTATGAGGAATTGATTTACATGTATTCATAAGTTAAACATCCTAAACTGATGAGAATAATGAAATTAATAACAAATAAATTGTGGACTCTTAAGTTTTGACGAAACTGACTAGACCAGTTTATGTTATACCGTTAATTTGCCTCGCTACTATTTATTTCAAATCATCTCTCTTCCAAACTAGATAGCTCTCTCTCTCTCTCTCTCTCTCTCTCTCTCTCTCTCTCTCTCTCTCTCTCTCTCTCTCCCAGGGGAAATCTACCAATTTATAAGAATCTTGATGGTATTTTGGTTCCTTCTATAGTTAGTCTCTAAATAGATTCCCATTAAGCTAAAGAAATTAAGTTTTGAGGAGAGAACATGATAAACAGTTTTTATAGTAAGCTTGTGACTATAATTGCGTTGAAAATAACCATTTGAACAGTACATTGGCTCCTTAAGATTTCAACTTCATTAACATGCAAGAAAGTAAATAAATAAGGTCACAGTGACTTAAATGAAACTGTAATGACAAACTTAGTTAGCTCTCATTCTTTAGCACTTGTTTGACGATAAAATCCACGTCCTTACCCCTCACATCACTTCTTTAAACCAACAAATCAACAAACATTTAGTAAAAAAAAAAAGTTAGTAAAACACACACAACAATATTGAAGATCTTCCTATATTACTATATGATGCTTCTGATTTAGATAGTAAATGCACAAATCTAGGTGGATATAGAAATGTTTCATAAAAAATTCTTGAGTGTTCACAAGCGAAGCTTTATAGTACATATGTATCATAAATAAGGTAGTTTTGGAGTTTTCACACATTTTAATAATAAAGTTACAATACTAAAAATAATCAAACTCTAATATGAAATATACCGAAAAGATATTACTAGATGTAGTAATAACTTAATTAACATGAGTAAACTGATTAAATAAGTAATCAAGTCATATCAAAAAAAGCAAAAATACTATTCTATGAAATAAATAAAAAAATTTAAAAAAATATCTCAATGGAATGGAGGGAGTATATTTTTAAAGTTTTTTTTGAAACTAAAACGCTTCGAGAATCTTCTATCGTGTAAGCACCGGAATTGGTGTATGGCCAAACGCAACAATCTTCATGATTCACTGCCGGGTGTCATATCAAGAATCCGTGAGACTATCCTATATCAAAAAAATCTGTCCCATTCCATCTTGTATGACAGTAAAATAAATCTGCTACATTTAAATCACGATCAATAAAAAATCCAATTCAGTAAACAGAGAATTTGATAAATAGTTCATAAATATTTTATAAGGAAAAAAACTCCCAGCTTAGGGCTGGAACCAAGAAACACAATGTCGCCAACTGAGCTATACAAATTAATTAAAAACATTCAAGGATAATATTATATTTATTAATGTATATAGCATTTTTATCCGGCACATTCTCCCTTAACTTTTCATGAGAAATCAACAACAAAAGGAAGCTTAACCTGGTACCATATCCATGTATTTAAATTATATCCTAATAATAATAATATTAAAACCTAATGAGAGTCTAAGACAAGAGTGAATAAATGAAACTTAAACAGCCTGTGAGAATTGATGACAAAGACTTCCTTCAGATAGTTATTAAATTATACTCAGATCTTAAATCGATCCTCCTCATGTGTTTTTCTTTGTTTATTATTTCTAGATGCAAGCCATGTACTTTTCCTATATTAAATAGTATAGTTTTTTTTGTAGTTTTGCATCTTAACATGCATGAACCGCATTGTTAATTTTTCCTTAAGTATGTTTTATAATTGATATTAGTTTTGCATCTTAACATGCATGAACTGCATTGTTAATTTAAAAATAAAATGCTGTAGAATTTTTTTTTTTTAAAACGATGTTTATATCATCGTGTTTTTGGTGATTTAACATTGTTAAGTTTAGCTAAAAAAATTTTTAAAAATAAGTTGAGAAATAAAAACGACATAGCTATTACTTCTGCTAATGTAAAACTCTATTTTGTGGTAGGAGGAGCTGCGTTAGCAATTCTTGAACATTGGTCTTTGAGAGGAAAAAGCGGATTGAATGGAACTTTCGGTAAGCAATTGGCTTCGGCTTCCAAAAAGGCCTTGCAACAAGCGGGACCTATATGTCCGAATTGTCTTGTGAGTATGGATGTAGAAATCTCTATAATGCATCCTGAAATATTCATCACCGAAACCCAACATTTTGCTGCATCAGGAAATCTTGGAATACCATGACTTGGTTGGAATGGGAGTGGAAAAGGAAATGGCATGGGAAACTGGGGTAGTTGAGCATTGGCGGAGACAACAACACATAGTACCACCATTAGGAAAAACACATGTTTAATAGACATTATGAGTTAAAAAGAAAAGAGAAAGATTTATTGAAATATGTGAGTCTTTATCGAGTTTGTGGTTTTGATTAATGAACATATAATCTTTTGTCTATTTATATTGAAAGGAAAGAGGGTACAATACCAGCTACATTGAAGAAACGTCTTTGGAATTTTATGAGAAATTTAATTACATGTATTCATAAGTTAAACATATCCTAAACCAATGAGAATAATTAATAACAAATAAATTCTGGACTCTTAAGTCTTGTTGAAACTGACTACTCTCTCTCTCTCTCTCTCTCTTTGAGAGAGAGAGAGAGAGAGAGAGAGAGAGTCTCTCTCTCTCTCTCTCTCTCTCTCTCTCTCTCTCTCTCTCTCTCTCTCTCTCTCTCTCTCTAAACCCTAAATCCTTGGATAAACCGTAAACCCTTAGATAAACCATAAACCCTTGAGTAAACCGTAAATCCTAGGATAAATCAAAAATATTAAATACTAAATTTTAAAAATACTAAAACCATTAATCCTAATCCCTAAATCTTTGGATAAAAATAAATAAATTTTAAAATATTTTTAACGCCGTCAGCAAACACTAAACCCTAAATGCTAAATACTAAACACTAAATTCTAAACCCTTGGATAAACCATAAATCCTAGGGTTTAAAATTTATCCAAGGGTTTAAGAGTTAGGATTAAGGATTTAGTATTTAGTGTTTCTGTTTTAAGGGTTAAGATTTATCCGAAGGTTTAAGTTTTACCCAAGGATTTAGGATTTATGATTTAGGTGTAAGGATTTTATATTTTGCTAATAGTGTTAAAAGGGTTAAAAATATATATTTTTGTAACTATTTTTATCTTTTTATTTTATAAATATAATATAATCTTATATATTAAAACAGAAGTCATGACTTGACTTCATGTGTGATTTTTTAAAAAAATGGACTATTACTAGAAAGTCATGTTACATTAACTTTCTAATCATCTTATCATTATTATATCTTATAAAAAACCATATCTATAATAACAAAGATACGCTTAACAATTTAGTTTTGATAAATTACCCCACACCTTCCAACTTAGTCACACATAATATGTCAATAGATATAAGTTTAGGAATCTTCTATTATTTATAAGGAAATATGTCAATAATAGTTAAATGCATCAACAAAATATTAACAAAAATCACAGATTCGTAATATGGAATATTTATATACTCTAACAAAATTTACACGCTAAATATACTAGATAAATTTATTTCGATGTAAATTTTTTAAATTATATTGTTTAAAAAAAAATTGTTTAAAAAATTCCTTTTTAAGAAAATTCTTTATAATATTAATTTATGAAGCTATAAGTTTAGTTTTTAGCAAAAAATTCTTCGAAGTTTTGCATATTAAAGTATACTAATATTTAAACAAGCTCTATTTATATTACTTTATCTAAAAATGAAATACTCATCTAACAAACAATAAAATATAGAAGAAGAAACAAACACATGTTTGAAAAACATGTATAATATAGAAAATTTGAAACAATCTATTTGATTAAAACACGTATTATATAATATTATTATGTTTGAAAAACATTTACTATACATATCGTAAATATGTGATTACTATAATATATATCAATTTACAAGTGAAAACAAAAATTTTATACTATAAACGAAAACAAACACCCGCGCGGTTGCGCGGGTCAAGCTCGGTGAAGATAATATATACCTCATCTTCTATTATTTTAGCACAAGTCGGTGTCGACTTGTGCTAAAATGGTTTCTATTACCATTACCAAATATTCTTTAAAATCTTCTTATGACTTTTAAATTCTTTATAATATTAATTTATAAAACTATAAGTTTAATTTTAAAATTAAATTTCTTTGAAGTATATATTATCTTTTCAAATTAAAGTACACTAATATTTAATCAAGCTCTATTTATATTACTTTAGTTCAAAATGAAATAATAATCTAACAAACAATAAAATATAGAAGAAAAAACAAACACATGTTTGAAAAACATGTATAATATAGAAAATTTAAAACAATTTATTTGATTAAAACACATATTATATAATATTATTATGTTTGAAAAACATTTACTATACACATCTTAAATATGTGACTACTATAATATCTACCAATTACAAATGAAAACAAAATGTTTATATAACTAATTACAAACGAAAACAAACACCCGCGCGGTCGCGCGGGTCAAAATCTAGTTTGATAATATTTTTTAAATATATTAAATATATAATAATGTAATCTTATTGGTTGGTGAATCTAGAAGTTCATCTTAGTGAATGAACCTAAGAATAAGTCAAGAAATTATATTGCCAGTTTATAGTCCTTACTTTTGATTTGTGTCAATACTATTTGGTTCAGTTTCCTCTATCGTCTATACCAAATGGATATCTCATGAAGCCGGAAGGAATCTGCCAATGTCTAGTCTTGATAGAATTTTGGCTGACTCTTTATAGGGTCAGTGTCAGTCACCAGAGAAATTTGAAGTGGAGAGAGAGAACATGATAATGAGTTATTACGAAGAGCTTGCGAGCAGTATTGTGTTGAAAATAACCATTTAAATACTCACCCAACAAAAAAAAACAAGTCCGAACATTTACAGTAAGATCGTTTCTGAAATTAGCAGTGATGGCGATAACAAACTAGGTGACGAGTCTTTGACAGGCAACAGAAAGTCAGACAAAAAAAACAGCATCGTTTTGGGAAAATATGGTCACACTAGTGAAGACGTTTGTTAGCTCTCAAGCTTAGGCTCTTGTTTGACGGTTAAATCATCAGCCTTCTCGTCCGCCACATCACTGCTTAAAACCAACAGACCAGCAAAGATTCAGAAACAGTTTAGCCATTAACCACATATAACCAAATCGGTCTATAAACCTGTCTGCTGCTTCTGATTTGGGAATCATCGTGATCTTCTTGGACGTGAAATCTTCAAGAATATGAGACAACTTCCTTTCCTGGCACAACTCGTGTAGATGATTCAAGAACTCATTGAACTGTTTTGGCTCCTGAACACACACGAAGAACAAATCCATGACAAGGAGCTTAAACACATACGTAAAGAATAAATGAGATAGGAAAAGGAGATGAGACCTGTTCCAAGACACAGCCTTTACGTAAAGCGAGCAAACATTCCAATACTTTATCACCTTCATCGGTGGTACTATCTTCCACCAGCTTCACTATTCGTTTTTTCATCTCACTGATTGCTCTATCAATCCAATCATTGCCATCTCTACGGGATATTATGGCTTCAAAATCTTGAACCGGGTTTGCATCTCCCACTGTATCTACATTGTTCTCAGTGGCATTATAAGTAATCATGTGATTGTCTTCATCATCTGAACCAGCTGGCTTATCCCGTAACATTCTCTTAGAAGCCTTTCTCAACTGCAATTAGAAGTCATGTGAACTAATCAAGAATGATAAATAACTCAGGTTACTTTGTGAAAGTTGCAAGAGGAACAAAAAAAAAACCTTTGGGTTCTCCTTCACTTCAAAACTTCCACGAAACGCATCTGCTATGGATTTATTGGTGGAAGAGAGTTCTGGATCCTGCTCCATGATTCTCTTGAAAGCTTCATCCATTGGAGGTAAAGCAGCGTCCGTTGATCTTGATTTCAGCTCAAGGTATTCATAAAAGCGCTGATAATATATAATCTATCATCAAGAAGGCGTTCGAATACAACAAATAGTCAGAAGCAGAAAAAGAAGATGGTTTTACCTGCAGAACTGGGTTAGGAGTAAGCTCAGGCTTTAACACTTCCTCTTTAAGAGAAGGTGCAAGGTCAAGCATCTTAACCAAGTTATCAGCCACTGCTTGCTGTTGCTCGTCAGGCTTCCACGACGCAGGAAATCTACTGAAAGAAGGAAATGGAAACTCGCGGATATCCTCGGCGAAAGGCAGCACATTGAAGTAGAAAGAATCAGGCTGCCAAAACAGAGAGTAGAATGATCATCAAGGTAGGTAGATTCAAGTTAAAAGTGTATTGTTTAAGTTTAACTTACGGTGTCATCTCGTTCAGACACATTTGGAGTGAGGACCCCAACAACTACATTCCCTTGTCCGTTTCTCCAGACACAACGTACAATCGCCACCTTGTTTGCTTGCTTCATTTCTCTTGCAAAGGCAGAGACTGCAATCACAGATTTTTCTTTGCTCGGGTCCGGAACAACTATGTTCACGTCTTTCATGTAGTAATGTCTTCGTTGAAATACACAGAAAAAGAAACAACATTCTCTCAACTGAAAACAACCAAAGAGTTTACAGACAATACCACAAATATATGTCTTACCGGAGTATGTTTGATGCATCAGTAAATCCAAGAAGCTTCATGCCCTTTTCAGTTTTGAACTTGAGTGTTTCCATCTCATCTGGTGATATAGGAATAACATGAGGTCCATAGCGAAAGCCCTTGATCCTTTCTTCTGGAGCAATAACCTCACTAGTCTCTTCGGTAACTTTATAATCATAATCGATCGTCACTTCATGTTTAGCAAACTTGTCACTTGGAGGCGCCTTGTCAGAATACATTTTTAGCGTGGGAAGTCTCTCCTCAGCCACTTTCTTATAAACCCACACCTACAATATCGAAAGTCCAAAATCACCATTCTCGAATAACCATTACATATATTTTAAACTGACTAAGTATTACCTTGATCTTCATTGTTGGGTTGATCTCAAGGTCACCTCTGAACAAAGTAACAGGAGCAACTCTCCTGGTCTTTAAGGAACCTAGCAGTGAGAGTGGACTGTCAACATACACTGTTTTCGCAATGGCGTTGCTGGAGAACAAACTCAACAAATGATCATTCTCCTCTATTATCTTCTCATCAACATCACCGCTTGCATTAGCCCTCATAACAATGCTTTCCATCTTTATACCCTCTGCAGCCATTTTGACAGCAATGGTACTGACTTGCTCATCTTTAGTCCCTTCAAATGGATCTTTGGTAGGAGATGCTGCATT